CCATCCTCAAGGACACCAAAAAACCTGAAATCACAACCTTGAGTCAGAGTTAGGTAGATCCAAATTGGAAGAAACCTTCAAAATCATCTAGTATGGCCCTTTAATTTTTCAGTAACTTTTGTAGAGATTTGATTAATTGTTCAAAGGATTAATCGAGGTCCTTCATGAAAACTCAGGTCCTCATGAATCCCTTGTTCTACCTAATGAACTTTAAAGTTTAATAATATTTTATTTATTTAATGAAAATCTTATCTGTTTGACCACAGGCTTTTGTTTGCTTATCCGCATTTGTCTAGATTTTAAAGATTACACTTTCTCTGTGTTGGCCATATAATAGGTTCTCAGTAGTACTTATTTTTCATTGATTTATTTAATCTTTGTAAAAACCCTTTGAAGTAGGTACTAATATTATCTCCATTATTCAGATAAAGAACTTGGAATCAGAGACTTCAGTAGTTTCCCAAAGGTCATTCTCAACTAGTAAATGGAGTAACCATTACTCAAACCCAAGTCCATGTACAGAGCCCAAACTCAACAATATATGATACTATTTCTCAATATATTAAGTGTGATAATTTATGAGACAACACTTAACACAGGACCTAGCATAAAAATATTTGTATTGATAAACATTAATTTAGTAGATAACTAATCTTTTTTTCTTCCGCCCCCCCCCCCCACCCTCTGGTTTGATGGGAACTTTAAGCTTTTGAAATTTTGACTAACTGGCCAAAAAGTTTCTGTGAAATAAACTAAAAACTCTTCTGCAAGGAAAAAGGACTTTGGTGGGCAGAAAACGATGGAAGAAGGAAATAAAGACCAAAAAAGGGCTTGAGGAACTCCAAAGTCCAAAAAACTAGGGGATCATTAGGAAGCATGGTTCAAGAGAGAAACTATTATGTGGGTACTGGCCCGTGGTCAGAGAGAAAGGCCATTGAAAGGGGCCTTATTTGGATGATCAGGAACCTGGATGGACAGTGTTTGCAAGCTGATTACATATATTTTCCACAGTACCAGTTCCTTTTCTTTGTTTTTTGTCCTGATATTATCAACGTATTCCATTCAGTGACTCTAGCAGTTCGAAAATCTTAAATGAAAGAAATGTAGATACGTATTTTGGTGGTGGTGAGGGTGGCAGTCACAGTGGTGGCAGTGGCGGTGGTGGTGGTAAGCATGCGAACCTCTTACAGTTCTTCTTGAGAGGAACTTGAACTGAACTGGGGTTTCTGGTTAGGCAAGGACACCACCATCGTATCATCATCATCATCATCATCATCATCATCATCATATTTTTACCAATTCTTGCCAAAATCTATTATAGTACTGTGTCAAAGGTTCAAAATAGTCAAAGTAAAACCAAAGAATCACTGTAGTAATAATTAGCACAAATTTATTATGCACACACCAAACAGGACAATTTGCAAACCAGGAGCATTTGGACCAGAACATGGAATGAAAGCTGAGTGGTATATTGTTATAAAACAGCTTACATAGGGAGAAAGCAGTGACTGTTTATTCTTCATAGTGATTGGTTACAATATTAAAATTTTCAGTGGTTACCTCACATCAACCATGGGAAACAGTTCAAGTTTTGCTTAGCATTTCCAGAAGCACCAGCAAGGAATGATCCAGGTTAAGTTAGCCTTGCAAAAAAAGCTAAATTAAGCTTTGCCTACCTGACTAAACTGGTTTGTCTGCTGAAGGAACCTTCAAGACTGGTCTCTGTCTGTCCTTGATTTTAAGAACTACTATATAGTATCATTAGATATTGGAGGTAAAAATAAGTTAATAAGGTATGAATTGCCTTTGCCTTCAAGTAACAGAGTACTTTCTGTCTGTTTGGTGTTAAATATTTGGAACAACATAGTTGCCCCCTACCCCTTACAGGTATGGTCTCCGCTAGGATTAGCTGGATGAAATGTCTCTTCAGCCTGTGTTTCCTAGTTGTTTTATGCAGTTTTCTAACTTTGGGTCCATTGTCTTTGGCTTTGTCACTCCTTATTCACTTTCTGTTCCAGCATGTTTTTCACTGCTCCCATCCTCGCTCCATGCACCGGGGGTGTCACTCGATGTTAAGGACCCCATTTCCTTTACAGTATCTGATGATTTCCTTCTGACTAAACGTCGGGATTCTGATTCCAGCCCTCAGTGTTCAGCTGAAAGGCAGCGGGGGGTGGGGGGGAGCTATTATTCCGAGATTATTTGAGGTACTTGATGATTATAGAAGGAAAAGATTTCAGAAGTTAGACGGTACTTTTGTTTTGGGGGCACCTGGGTGGCTCAGTTGGTTAAGCGTCTGCCTTTGGCTCAGGTCATGAGCTCCCAGTTCACGAGTTCAAGCCCCACATCAGACTCTATGCTTTCAGCACAGATCCTGCTTCAGATTCTCTCCCCCGACCCCTGCCCCTGCCCCACTTGCATACACACTCTCTCTCTCTTAAAATAAATAAATAAACTTTAAAAAAAAAAAAAAAAAGGAAGGTACCTTTGTTTCAAATAAAAAACCTAGGCCCAGAAAAGTTAAGTGTCATGAGGCCAGTGACACGGGTCACTCAAGGGCAGAACAGGGAGTTTTCAGTTTCTGTGCTCTATTTACCATAGCACAAAATACCACAATATATCATGTTTTAATAAGACTGTTGAGAAACAAGGAAGACAGGGGCAGGAACATCCTGCCTCACTTCTCAAATTACACCACACAGGTGCTACATATTTCACTAGTTCCTATTTCATTACTAACAAGGACAGTTTTGAAAATTCCAGGGTAAATTGTCGGAAATGTCTGAACAATAAACTGGTTTGACAAAACCAACTCATGCTGAGTTTGCTTTAAAAAAATATTTTAGTGAAAATATTATTATATTTGGACTTAAATACCCCTTGGAGGATTTGTCAAGAAGGAAATAGAACATTGATTGTTTAGGCCCCTTGAAGACACAGAGGTCCAGAAGCCAAATGAAATTGATTTTGTTTTCTCCTTCTAAAGAGAAAAAAAATGCCCCAAATCGATGTGTGGTCATCACGGAAAGAATTCAGTTGTAAACCAGGCTTACTTGAATATCTGTGGGCTGTTTACAGTTCAGAGCCAAGGAGATACACCAGAATTTTCTGGATTAAAAATGAAGTCATGTGTTTAAAAGAGTATATTGATCTCTTTAAAAACAAAACAAAACAAAAATCCTGCTGGGATTTTTGTTGGGGTTGCTTTAAATCTGCAAATTTAGCAAAAATTGACTCAATAGATGGTCAATATTAAATCTTCCTGCCACGATCATGCTGTATCTCTGTGTTTATTTAGGTCTTATTTAATTTGTCAGCAATATTTTGTATTATTCACTGTATAGGTATTATGCTGGTTGTATATATTCCTAAATATTTCTTATATTTGATGCTATCACAAATGCCATTGTTTTCCAATTGTTTATTGGCAGAATATAAAAATACGATTGATTTTTATATACTGATCTTATGTGCTGGAACCTACTAAATTCACTTATTAGTTCTAGTAACTCTTTTGTAGATTCCTTAGGATTTTCTGTGTATATGATCTGTCATATGCAAATAATGACAGTTTAACTTTTTCCATCCCAATATGTAGACCTTTATTTTATGTATGTGGGCCTTTTTTAGGTAAAAATGGTGAGAGTATACATCTTTGCCTTCTCCTGATTTTAGGAGAATACATGAAGTCTTTCACCACTAAATATGATGCTGTGTATAGGTTTTTCCTAAATGTCCTTCATCAGGTTCAGGTAGTACCCTTCTATTCCTAGTTTGCTGAGAGTATTTGTCATGAATGAGAATTCAATTTTATCAATACCTTTTCTGCATCTATTGAGATGATCTTGTGATTTTCTTCTTTATGTGGTAAATATGTTGAATTGTATTAATTTTCCCCCAGTTTTATTGAGATGTAATTGACATATAACATTGTGTAAGTTTAAAGTATACAGCATGATAATTTAGTATACATATATCGCACAATGATTACCACAATAAGTTTAATTAGCACATCCATCACCTCATATTATTACAATTTCTGTGTATGTGATAAGAACTTTTATTATCCACTGTCAGTAACTTTGAAGTATACAATATAGTATTATTAAGTATAGTCACCATGCTATTATGCATTACATCCCAAGAACTTTTTTATCTTACTGGAAGTTTGTACATTTTTTTTTTTAATTTTTTTTCAACGTTTATTTATTTTTTTTTGGGACAGAGAGAGACAGAGCATGAACGGGGGAGGGGCAGAGAGAGAGGGAGACACAGAATCGGAAACAGGCTCCAGGCTCTGAGCCATCAGCCCAGAGCCCAACGCGGGGCTCGAACTCACGGACCGCGAGATCGTGACCTGGCTGAAGTCGGACGCTTAACCGACTGCGCTACCCAGGCGCCCCGGAAGTTTGTACATTTTAACCACTTTCACCCTTTTCCACCAGCCCCTAAATCTTGCCTCTGTCAACCAAAAATTTGTTTATATGAGTTTGGTTTTTTTACATTCCACATATACATGAGATCACACAGTATTTGTCTTTCCCTGACTTATTTCACTTAGCATAGTGCCTTCAAGTTTTATCCATCTTGTCACAGATAGCAGTATTTCCTTCTTTTTTATAACTTAATAATTCCTATTGTACATATTTACCATATTTTCTCTATCCATTCATCCATCGATGAATGCTTAAGCTGTTTCCATGTCATAGCTATTGTTTTTTGTTGGTTTGTTGTTGTTGTTGTTGTGAGAACCATTTAATGTGGGCACTCCAGGCCTGGGCAGTGTGGGGGGTGCCCTGCAATTGGGCAGGCAGGCCAGGCAGGCAGCCCCAGGTGTTTGGGGCTGGCCTAGGCATGCCAAGGGGAGGACCCAGGTGGGCAGGTCCACCAGGGGACCTGTCAGCCAGACCTTGAGAAGGTATCTAAGCCAGCTGGTGAGTGCCCAGGCCAGAGCCTAATCCAGGGAGGCAGGGTTGGGGCTGGTTGGGGGCTCTCAGAGCCTAAGGACTGGCATCACTAGGGGCCTCCCCAGGCTTCTGCTGGAACTCAAGGTGTCTCTACCAGTTGGATTCAAGCAGCTTCTGGAGGCAGGCTTGGAGGTGGTCGTTCTTCTCCTCCAGGTGGTCCAGACAGGAGTTGATCTGGTCCAACATGGAGTTGATGGCAGCACCAAAGCTGACATCCTCACCTGCCTCCACTGGCATGCCCAAGTCCCCACTGGGGCCTGACATTGTGGGCTCACAGGGCCAGAGCCTCCTAACAATGAAATGCGGGACCCTGGTGCCCACAGCTGGTGTGGGGCAGAAGGTGGAGGTGACAGATCCATATCTTAGTTAACGTAAATAATGCTGCAATTAACATGGAGGTACAGATATCTTTTTGAGTTAATGTTTTTATTTTCTTTCGCTAAGTCATCAGAAGTGGGATTGCTGGGTTGTATGATTGTTCTATTTTGAATTTTTTAAAAAAGAACCTCCATATCGTACCAAACTGGCACATAGTGGCTCTACTAGTTTACAGTTCCACCAATAGTGCACAAGAGTTCCCTTTTCTCTACATCCTTGCCAATGCTTATTATTTCCTTTTGCTAATAGCCCTTATAGGTGTGAGATGATACCTCACTGTGGTTTTGATTTGCATTTCCTTGATGATTAGTGATGTCGAGTACCTTTTCATGTATTTGCTGGACATCTGTGTGTCTTCTTTAGAAAAGTATCTATTCAGATTTTCTGCCTATTTTTTAATCAGATTGTTTTAATAAGTCACATGAATTCTTTATATATTTTGGATATTAATCCCCTTATCAGATATATACTTTGTAAATAGTTTTTCCCATTCAACAGGCTGGCTTTTCATTTTGTTGATGGTTACCTTTGCTGTGCAGAAGCTTTTTAGTTGGATGCAGTCCCACCTGCTTATTTTTGCTTTTCTTGCTTTTGGTGTCAAATCCAAAAAATCGTCAACACCAGTGCCAGGGGGCTTACCACCTGTTTTATGGTTTCATGTCTTACATTGAAGTGTTTAATCCATTTGAGTTAGTTTTTGTAAATGGTTTAAGACAGTGGTCCAGTTTTCATTCTTTTGCATGTGACTGTCCAGTGTTCCTAACACCATTTATTGAAGTCTATCCTTTCCTAATTGTATGTTCTTGGCTCCTTTGTCATCAATTAATTCACCGTAAATGTATGGATTTACTTCTGGTCTCTCTGTTCCATCGATCTCTGTGTGTGTTTCTATGCCAGGACCATACTGTTTTGATTACTATAGCTTTATAACATAGTTTGAAATCAGGGAACATGATGCCTCCATCTTTTTTCTTTCCCCCTCAAAATTGCTTTGGCTATTCACTATCTTTTGTGGTTCCATACAAACTTTGGGTTGTAAAAAATGCCATAGGAATTTTGAGTGGAATTACATTGAATCTGGATTGCTTTGGGTAGTATGGACATTTTAACATTATCAGTTCTTCCATCCATGAGCACAGAATGTCTTTTTACTCTCTCTTACATTAATTTCTGCTTTTATCTTTGTTATTTCCTTCCTCCTACTAACTTTGGGCTTTGATCTTCTTTTTCTAGTTTCTTGACTTAGGCATTTATTGCTATGAACTTCCCTCTTAGAACTGCTTTTGCTGAATCCCATTTGATGTGTGCTGCATTTCTCTTTTCTTTTGCCTCAAGGTATTTTTTGATTTTGCTTTTGATTTCTTTATTGACCAACTGGTTGTTCAGTAGCATGCTTAGTCTCCAGATATTTGTGAACTTTTACAGTTTTCTCCTAGTAATTGACTTCTAGTTTCATATCATTGTGGTCAGAAAAAGTGCTTAATGTGACTTCAGTCTTCTTAAATTTGTTAAGACTTGTTTTAAAAATAAATAAATAAATAAATAAAATAAAAAAAATAAAAAAAAAACTTGTTTTGTGGCCTGATATATGATCTACCTTGGAGACTGTTCCATGTGCACTTTAGAAGAATATGTACTATAGTGCTTTTGGATAGAATATTATTTATATATCTGTTAAGTTCATTTGGTTTAAAGTGTTGCTTAAGGCCAATGTTGCCTTATTGATTTTCTGTCTCGATGATCTATCCAGGAATGTAAGTAGTACATTAAAGTCCCCTACTATTATTGTATTGCTGTCTATTTCTCCCTCTAGGTCTGTTAATAATTGCTTTATATATTTAGGTGCCGCTGTGTTGGATGCATAATTATTTATAAATGTTGTATCCTCTTGTTGGATTGACCCCTTCATCAATATGTAATGCCCTTCTTTGTTATTAGTTTTTGTTTCAAAGTGTTTTGCCTGATATAAATATAGCTACCATAAGCTTTCTTTTGGCTCCCATTTTCACGGAATATCTTTTTCCATTCCTTTACTTTCATTCTGTGTGTGGCCTGATTTCTAAATTGGGTTTCTTGTGGGCAGCATATAGATGGGTTCTTTTTTTAATCAATTCATTCTTTGTCTTTTGAGTGGAGAATTTAGTGTACTTATATTTTAAGTAATTATTGATAGGTATATACCTATTGCCATTTTGTTAATCGTTTTCCAGCTGTTTTGTAGTTCCCTTGTTTCTTTTTTCTTCTCCTGTTCTCCTCCTCTGTTATTTAATGACTTTCTTCAGCAGTTTGCTTAGATTCATTTCTTATTATCTTTTGCGTATCTACTATGGGCTTTTGCTTGGTGACTACCATGAAACTTATATAACTTATTTTTATAACTAATTTAAGTTGATAAAACCTGAAGTTTGAACATATTCTAATGCTCTGTATTTTTACTCTTTCACCCACATTTTATTTCTGATGTCACATTTTACATCTTTTAATCTTGTGTAGCCCTTCACTAACTATTTTTTAAAAATTATGTTTATTTTTGAGAGAGAGAGCACAAGCGAGGGAAGGGCAGAGAGAGAGGGAGAAACAGAATCTGAAGCTGTCATCACAGAGCCCAATGTGGGGCCTGAACTCACGAAATGTGAGATCATGACCTGAGCTGAAGTCAGCCACTTAACCAACTGAGACACCCAGGTGTTACTTTTACTTTTTTTTGTTGTTTAACATTTATTTATTTTTGAGAGACAGAGAGCATGAGCAGGGGAGGGGCAGAGAGAGAGGGAGACACAGAATCTGAAGCAGGCTCCAGGTTCTCAGCTGTAAGCACAGAGCCTGACGTGGGGCTTGAACTCACGAATCGTGAGACCATGACCTAGGCCGAAGTCAGATGCTTACCGACTGAACCACCCAGGTGGCCCTATTACTTTTACCTTTTAACTTCAGCTTTATAAATGATTAATATACTGTTTTTACTATATATTTTCCTTTACCAGTGAGAATTATTCTTTCATGTGTTTTCCTGTTATTAATTAGCATCATTTTGTTCCAGCTTAAAGAACACTTTCACATTTCTTGTAAGGCTGGTCTAATGGTGCTAGGCTCCTTTAGCGTACTGAGGTGTTATCTTATTCTTTTGTTTGGAAAATATCCCTCTGTTTCTTTATTTTTCTTGGCTATCTGTATTGGTTTCTGTGTATTAGATGAAATATCCACATCTCCCAGTCTTAGAGGGTTGTCCTTATGTAGAAGATAAACCATATTGTTCAACTCTGCCCTAGCTCTTGGTTGACTCTTAAAACTTTCTGAGTGTACAAACAGGCGATTTAATTATTAATAGCTCCCAGTAGTTGAAATGTACTAAGACCAGTCAACGTTCCAAAGTGGGGGGTAGGATTTCAGTCAGCACCTAGATTTAGGCCGACTGGAAGCCAGACCCTCAGGCAACAGCTGTTAAAGTATATATGTATGTGTGTATGTGTATATATATATATATATATATATATATATAGTCCCTTGGGACCACAAAGGAGCCCTGCAGGTTCCCAGAGCCAGGTGATCAGGAGGAGCCCCTGGGAAGCAGTTGCAAAAAAGCTGGGCTTCAGGTAAGTGTCAAGCTTCTTTCTGGGAGGAACTGATGAGATGTAGAGAGGCAGAGGAAGAATGCAGAGATGGTGTCCCCTGATCTGCATTCCCTGAGAGTGCCTATGTAGTCTCCAGGTGTGTGTCAATTTTGAAACCTTCCCCTAAGGCCAAAGTTCTAGGACTAGCAAGTAGACTTTTTCTCAGAAAAACTGGGGATGCATTTCCCTCTGCTCTCCATGCAGTGCCTTGGGAGTAGTAGCCTGCCAAGAACTGTGTCTCCAATTGTTACAGTCCTGGAGAACCCAGGAATACCAGACCCCTGGCCACCAGAGTCTGGTGATCAAGGTGTATCTCCTGGGCCGCAGCCACTGACAGCAGTGCACCAAATGCAAAATGTGGGATGCTGGTGTTCTGGAGTGTGGCAGAGGGAGAGTGTGAAGATAGCACGCACCCTCCAAGGTCTTAAGAAAGGTTTACAGTTAGCCATTGGATGTGTTTTCAGTTAGAAGCTTGCCCATAAAACTGTAGCTGTGATGATAAACTAATTGGCCTCTTCCCAGAAATATTGAGCTCCTGGGTCTGCTTCTTCTTGTTGTGCCCTGGGGTGGTAGCTGCAGTCCTGCTGGACCCACAAGCATAAACCTCCCGGGGCCACCGAGGGCCAGGCAATATAAAAGTGTTCCTTGGCAATAGCTATAAAAATCAAGGCACCAGAGAATGGTATAAGCTCCTTTCTGTAAGATAGTGGCAAGCTAGAGCCAGGCAGAGACCACAGAGATTGCATCCACCAGCCTCCTCTGTTCCCTTCACTCTGCTGGGAGAAGCTCTGGGTTTTGAGTTCCCTTTCAACTTTTGTTCACTATACCATGGGTGGAGTTTATGATGAGATTGTGTCTCAGACTTCCCTGCCTTCTCTGATGTGGTTTCTCCCTTGTTTGCTCGGTGTGAATGGGTTGCACCACCAGTTTCTGGGCCTTTTTTCTCATTCTTTTTAAGTTTATTTATTTTTGAGAGAGGGAGATCGTATGTGAGCAAGGGAGCGGCAGAGAGAGAGGGAGAGAATCCCAAGCAAGCTCCACACTGGCAGCACAGCCCAACGTGGGGCTCGTTGTCATAAATTGTAAGATAATGACCTGAGCCGAAATCAAGGGTCAGACACTTAACAGACTGAGCCACCCAGGCGCCCCTGTTTGTTTGTTTTATTTTAATAAGGGGAAATTGTTCCATATAAAGCTATAGATGCAGTATGTCCATGTAAGGATGTGAGTGCAGGATCTTCCTATTGACATCTTGAACCAGACTCCCATACTATT